CCACCCCCCACCTTTAAAAAATTAATTACCCCCCTCCTTTTATTCGACACCTTAAGAGTAACAGTTATACCGTGCAAACGCTGGTTGCTATTGATATACTATAATATTATAATAGGCAACGCTATGGATAATGGATCATGATCATGAGTAACGCTAAGCCTTAACTTTTAGTGTGGTCAAAAATTCGTGGCGCGACTTATCCTCAAATTTCTCTTTAACGGGAGAACCAATGTCACCCATACTTTGCACATCAGTTTGTATCAATTTGTCTTAACGTAATCACATTTTCCCACAACAACTGAGATTCGAGTAAAAAAATTGTCTTCGTAAATTTATATAAAATACTATAAATCTCCATCACGCGGAAAATGGGATACAGCACTTCCCGCTTCTCTCACACATTTTGCATACGCATTAATGTCCTACGTCACAGCTCATCAATGGCACTTATCAGTGGCAAAACTTCTTACAAGAAATTAATTTTATAGCCTAATGAACACATTTAAAAATAAGATAAAGAATCCCAGATGACTTTATATTCATCGCACGTTAATAGTTTTTAAAAACATTTACATTGTATTTATAACGTTTTAAATTTAAAGGTAGGCCTACGTTCCATCCCATAAGGGCAGGGATTTCCCCAGTCCCAAGCGGGAAATTTTACCGGAATGCCTAATTGCCTTAGCAATTCTTGCTCGCCACCAGTGTCCATTCGCGGGTGTTAAAAAAATCCCAAAAAAACAGACCCTTACGTAACCTCAAGCACATTGTCATTTTTTTTTCTAGTTTAGGCTACACGTGAGTTGGGATTAGTTCCTCTAGATTAGTTGAAGCACCTTATTCTTCGTGCTTCAAACAAAGCCATCATATTTTAATAACACTTCTATTTTTAATCTCTATCACCTATATCAATCTATCTATCTTGTTATTATTCTATTCACGTGTTCATGTATATAATAGGCCTATATGGAACCCACATGAACAAGCTTCGCAGAGCAGACAATTGTCACAATAGGTAATGACGAAGGTCGCGCAACAGACATGATGCATTCGCTATCCTTGTCAACTTTTATTTTTTAGACCTGTATTGTTCGCAGCACGTAGGCCTTTACAGTGTGCGTGTGTGTGTGTGTGTGTGTGTGTGTGCGCGCGCGCGCGTGTGTGTGCATGCGTGCGTGCGTCAGTGAGTGAGTGATAAACGAAGGCAAACTCAAACAGTACACTGTAGCCTTTTGCCGCCGCAAATAAAGACAGGAGACCCGAGTTCGATTCCGAAGTGAGGATAATTCTTATCAAGCATTTTGGTTTTTCTACCGGGATGTTGTATCCCTCTCAGCGTGGTTTAGCTTGACAGGTTGCGGCAGGTAGGGTCGAAACCCGCCTCCTAAATTGTGTCAATGGGGGCATAAGAACACCTTTTATTGTACTTAAACAAAAAATAAATAAAAATAAAGTACACACTCAAGGTTTCACAGTTGTCTGTGGCACACAATCAACACGTGTGTGTTCACGGGCCTTTCTCCTGATTTACAAATATGGATTCTTACACTTGAAGAGCATAAGACTTGATGATTCGGGTTATTTAGATTTTCAAGTGGGGGCTCTCGTGGTCTAGAGGCAAAAGTGGCGTCGGTGGCCTAGTGGTTACTGGTTAGGCTACAGGACTCGTAATCGTGAGGTTGCGGGGTCGGGGGTTCGAGCCGCAGGCCCGACGTTGTGTCCTTGGGAAAGGCACTTTGCACGAATTTTCCTCACTTCATCCAGGTGGAAATGGGTACTCGGCCATAGACAGTGAAAGATCTTGTCAGTATGTTAATGTTAGTGTTTGAGCGCCTATGAATGGCTGCTTGCACTGTATGCTTCCCATGAAGTTGAGTTTGTTTCAGAATGCTCTCAGGTCTGCAGGGGTAATATTATAGATTGTGAAGCGCCTAGAGCTTGCTGTTGAGCGGGGATTTGCGCTACACAAATGGTATCTATTATTATTAAAGGTGTTCGCCTGTCATTCAATAGGTCCTAGGTTCGAATCCGAATGTCGACGGACAATTTTATTCTCTAAAAAAAATTCTACTTCCATATCATCTCCTGCTCTCCAGCAATGTTCTGTCGTCTGCTTTCGTCTCCACTTTCTTCCCCACCCCCTCACCTCCACCTCCTTTTCCTCCTCCTCTGGGCTCCTGACTCTTTCAGCAACCTTTCTACTGCTACTCCTTGGCTCCTCTGCTGTCGTTCAGCCACACCCCAGATCTTATGGTTGGTAAGATCTGCATCTCTTACCTTCATGGATAAGATAAGGGAGAAAAATCTCGGAGGTCTCGTGTCCAAGTTGAGTACGTAAAAGATCCATTGATGGTTCCAAAATCGATAAGAGCAGGCTTTGGTCGGCACCCGGGCAAAATTCAAAATTTTCTATCAACTGAAAATGTTCATGTGTCCCGCGTCCTCATATGATCTTATGGCCTTATGCAGTAGCGTGCGCCGTAAAACAATTAACAGAAAATTTTTCAATTGCAGATTTGAATGGCAAAATTCGCGACATTCTTTTCGGTTTAGAATAATAGTCTAGCACAAATGATATAGTGAACACTCATTATAGCGAAAAGTGCACATGACAAACAGACTTGCAGGTCCCTATTATTTTTTTCTAACTCGTGTATTCTTTACATAATCAAACAGCACATTTGTGTAGTGAAATTCGTACGCAATGAGAAGATCTCCACGTTCAGCCGATTTCACTTCTAGTAGAAAAAACCCAGCGATAAACCTCTGTCTTTGTTAGAAAACTATCGACTCTAGTCTAGTATCATGAGGATTCTTGACTGCTGGAGCATTTCGGCTCATCGATAGTTTTCTAACAAAGACAGAGGTTTATCGCCGTTTTTTCTTCTTCCGGATTTACCGTGTTCAGTTTAAGCAGACTCCACTTG